AAAAACAATATTCTCACCGTCTCTGTAGGCGGCTTTTATGATACTCCGATGGCATTTGCGTCCTTTACTGGCGGAGAAGTATATTCTCTTGTTTCAGTCTTATATGAGTTGCAGAAACTTAAATTGAATAATGATCCCCATGCACCCGGTCCTTTGCCAATAAACGCGGATCTATCGTTTGCGATTAGAGAAGCGTATAGCATAATAAATCCAGATGAGGTGCTTGAATTTTCTCATCGACCAGCGAAGAAACGTTTGTATTATGATAGCAAAAGTGCACGTGACCAAAGTGAAATATGGGTGCAAGTTGTAACCATGTTAAATTCATTATCCACTACGGATGTAAAATAGTTTTATAAAAAATTTTATTACAAATTTTTATATATAAACTTATATATAAAGTAGATGGCTTTTATTATAGTAAATTTTTCAGAAATAAAAATTATTATATTTTCTTTACAATATAATTTTAATATGACTCATTTATCTTTTATTTTGTAAAATTAATTTGAAAAAAATTTTTGAATTCAAAAATAGCAATTTAATATAAAATTATTAGATAAACTCTTTTTTGACTAATCAAACATTTATGAAAACATTGTTTTATATATTTATTTATTTTATTTGAAAAATCAATGTATTAAATTATTATGATTATTCTATTCTTTATTATAGATTTTATCAAATAAATTTTAATTAACATTTTTTGAAAAAAAATTTTATTTTAGGTTTTTAATTTGTTTTATTTCATTTTTTGTTCTCCATTAGATTAGTCACTTGTGCTTGATTAAACTTTTGTAAATTGTATTTATAAATCTATATTATTAAAATTTATTTATTAACTAACTTATCTTAATTTTATCAATTTTAAGCGCAACATTGAAAATAAAATATTTATTTATAAATAGTTTAAATAAAAAAAACCTTTAATTATTGCCTATAAAGTATTACAATAAATATTATAAAATTTTGAAAAAATAAAAATTCAATTATTACTTATATATTTATTCTATTTATAATTTTTTAATAAGATTATTCTTTTTTTCAAGTCTTTCTTTCTTCTTTTTTATATAATTTTGATTCTATTGGATTTTTTTAACAAAATATATTTAATTTTATTATTATAAAAAAATTTTTTTAACCAGTTTTTATTCTATTTTCTTTTATATTTTATATTAAATATATTTTTTAAGGGTTTAAATTTAAATAAAATAAACAATATATTATTAATAAACTTGACTAAATTTTTCTTTATAAATTTTTAAATAAAATATTTATAATATACTATATTATATTTTTTGTCTTTTATATATAAATTTTATAAATATAGTTAATAGTTTTTAAAATATAAATATAAAAATTCTTTTTATTAATCTTCTAACTATATAAAAAAAAGATGTTTATCCAAGTTTTTTGACTTTTTGACTAATTAAATTTTAATAATTTTTTAAAACAACTTGAAAATATCTTAAAATAATACTTCTACTTTTATTTTCTTATTTATAAACCTTATTAATTAAAAATATATCTTTAAAAATTAAAAAAATTAAGTAAGAATTTATACTATTAATGATAAAAAAGTTCTTAAAAATTGAAGTAAGAA